CCTGGCCCTCCTCCCGGGTGCCTAGCCTGTATCTGAGGCTTGGCTCCAGCCCCTGGATAACTGGCCACCTCTGGATCTGTCTCCATCTTGGGGATTCACTGTGCCCCACCTTTCCTTGCGCTCTGCCTTTCTAAGTTTGGATTTTGCCCTCAGAGGCTGATGCCACTTTTTCCCTGAGGAGCCCCAGCGTCTACTAATGGGGGCTGCTGGTCTCCTCCCTCTACAGACACCGCCCTTCCTCTGGGTTGCACATCCTGCAGACTCCGAGCTTCCTGGCACCTTCCGTCACCCTCCTGGTTCTGCCTCCACTCCTAGCTGCACTTCTGGATCCTTTTTCTGTTCCCCGGGGCTCGCCCTGGTTCCCTCTTCCTCCTAGCTTTAGCCCTTGCTCTGCCATCTCCCGGCTGCTTCTCCTGGAGCTTAGCTCCTCCCCTTTGGCCTGATCCGTCTCCTGGGTCCAGTTTGCCCTTAGGATTGGTTTTGCTTCCTTTTTGCATTTCCCATCCTGCTCATACCACCTGCCTGATCCTGGGCTCTGGAAACCCTATGGTTTCTCATCAGGCCCAGATGGGGCCGCCTCCTCCCCACTCTCCAGGCTCAAAATGGCATGTCATCCAGACCCAAGTAGGGGGTCCTCCGCCCCCCCCTCCAAGCCAAGGTGGCACTTTGTGCCTGAGCATGAGATACAAAATGCGCTTCCTCCTGACTCTCCAGGGGGACAGTGGCGCCCCTCAGGCACTTCGGGTCCAATATGCCTGCCCTGGTACCTTGGGTGCGATATGATACCACTTTGCAGATAAGGGCCACACGCATGGTGTTGGTTTACTGTTGACCCCAGGATGCTAAGAGGACTTGGATTTCTGTTCCTGCTTCTGGCTCCAGCCCTAGTCCCTCAGTCCCATTCACATGTATTCCCCTCCCCACTCTTTTATCCCAGCCTAAAGCTGAGGTCTGAGTCCCAGGATGGAGAAGTGTGGGAGAGCGCTCTATGGCAGATTCATTAAAAGGCAAAACATTTACTGACATGGTCAGTTCCTCTCGTCTCCCCACTTAGAGGGGTGGGTTGGTTAGCAATTTCTCTGAGAATGGGGGTCCTAAGAGAGGGACCTTTTGAAGGTGAAGCTGTAGCTGAAAATGAGGGCCCCTAGTTCGTTTGTTTGTTGCTGGTTCTACATTTATTTGTATTTTGTTAACACATTTACTGGGCACCTGTTCTGTGCTGGGCACGGGATGCAACAACCAGTACAGACCCTCACTGAGCTCACAGCCCACTGGGAGAGACAGACATTAATAAAATAGTCTCGTAAATGGATGGATAGTTTTAATCATTATGATTTACAGTTTAGATTTAACTTTTCTGGCGCTGATTTGTGTCATAAAGAGGCCCAGGAGTTTTGTGAGGGTGTAACTGCGATCTGGCTGACCTTGTCTGGGGAGACAGACGGGGAGGTCAGATGGCTTTGCTGAGGAAGCTGTGAGTGAGTCTGAGTTGAACCCTGAAGCTATAAATAGGTGGAGGAGTGGGGTGGAGAAGGCTTCCCAGCAGGAGGAACAGTATATGCAGAAGCCCTGAATCAGAAGGGAGCACAAGCTATTTAAGTAACAGAAGGTGGCGACCAAGGACCAGGAAATGGGCTCTGAGCCGCATGTGGGAAGAGGGCATATAAAGGTTTGTTTACAAGGGCAGCAGAAATAGGAACCCACTCTGGCAATGGCCCGCTGCCCTGGGTGTTCGTTTACATTGCTTTTTGGGGGGTGGCAGCTGTGCTCAGCACTGCACCACCAACACTTTTGTTGGTGGGAGAGGGAGCGACAGAGTTGACCCAAGTGTTTGGGGTGAATGTTTGCGTGCCCTGAGATAGTTCATGTCTGAAATAGGTGACAGTTGTTTGCACCCACCGAAGTTTAGATCTGGAGGCTTTACGGCCTCGTTCAGCGAGCGCCTTCAGGAGAATGAGGGGGTCTATAAAGTCACCCTGCCAATGTGGTTACAGACTAAGAGTCATCGATACACTGAACAAGGTGAAGGCTACAAAGTCTACGCTTTAAGAGCTTGGGAGATTTTGAGGGTGACTAGCAACATCGCGAGGAAGGGGAGTCCATGTTGTCTCCCTCTAAACATAAATGCAAGGAGAAGTTGCAAATCAGGATGCAATGGAATGGAAAAGAAAACTGAGGAG